AGGGACGAGCTCCTCCAAAGTGCTGTCCATCTTCTCCTGCAACAGGTCGACAGAACAGACAGTGCACAACAGAGCCCTCTGGTATTATGCCCGTGGATTAATTAAATCATGTGGACAACACAGCACAGGATTAGCTGGAGAGGATCCACCTCCCCTCCACCTTCATCCCACTGCAGGTCCAGAACCTCCCCCAGCATTAGGCAGCGATTCCCTCCCTCCCTCCCCGACCATGAGACCCCCAGACCCTGCCCTTCCCCTCAGCCACACCGTAACCCACTGCATCCCGCACGGGCAGCGACTCTGCTCCAGCCTTTTGCTGGACACACAAGTGGCTGCAAGAGAAAGATGCAGGCAGGGAGCCCTGTCCCAGCTCCAGAAAAGGGAGGAGAGACTGGGACCTGCTACAAACTGAGGCCAGCTGGGACCACAAGACACTACCGTGATATCCGACATAGCTGCAGTCATGCCCAGTAATTAATGTATTTCTTGTGGCGATGAACTTTTAGACTCACAATGCTGCCACGGAATCAGTGCAGCATCGTCGCCACACAGATAAGAGGCTGTGTAGGGATGGGGTATCTCCCAGGCTGAAAAAAGAACAGAAACTTCCACTTTCCACCAGAAAAAATCCTCTCTGCCCTCTCCCTCATTCAAAAATCTCTGGCTAACGCTCAACCTGCGCTACAGAGTTTTATCAGCAAAAGAGGCGGGGGGTAGATTTAGCTCCATACATACCCACAAGCAGTCCTGAGTCATGCCAGTAAAACCCCAAACTTTTTGTTGGTACAGTAAAATCACATCCCCAGCCAACACAAGTTCCTCTCGCAGCTCTCTCCCCAGCAAACAGCCTGCCTGGGCAGGGCCTTATTAACACCAGTGAAAACCATCTTCCGTCCAAAAACCCACAGAGCCCCATGTCCACAGTGGTGGCTTCTCAGGTCACAAAATCACCCGGACCAGAAACCCGCACCCATTCCCAGGCACCCAAAGGGAAGCTCTATAAAACACATGAGAGTTTCTTCCAGCAACGACCACTTTTGCAAACAACAGGGGCAAAGCAAACTCCAGCTCAGCCCTGGACTGCAGCCCAAAGCTGGAAAATAAAAGCAGCAGCCTTCAGGGAGAAGCATTATCTGCTGAAAAAAAGCAGGGGAGCATCCCTCCAGGGAGGGAAAGGGATTGCTGAAGCACAGCTAAATATTTATCACATCCAACGTGATATTTTCCAGGCGCCCACCGTTACGCTAGCAGAGAGGAGGAGGAGGGCAGGAGCAAAGCCCTGTGCTCTCTCTATGATTGTCATAATTAATTGGATGCAAGCTCCGTGATGCTTCAACTAGAATTAAAATAAAAACCTGGTTCTGTGGGATCAGAGCTCCTATCTCCGCTACCCCCTGTCCACGCACACCCAGGGGACACCAGCCTGGTGGCTGCTCTGCCCAGACACGACGGGAGCCCGAAGGCAAAGCCCTGCTTGTGCAGGTCACAGCCCCATGGGTATTTTCAGCAGAACTGCCTTTTTTTGGGGTGGCAGCAGGAAAAGTGTGAATGGCACGAGACAGTACAGGATTCACAGATGACTGAATTGCCTAACGGCGGTGTGCTCCCACAGAGGGCACGGGAGGGACGCGTCCCCACCGCTTATTTACCTACCCAGAATAGACGTACCACCAGAACAAGTACGAGTTCATCCCCAGGTTCTGGCATTTCTAACCACTGATTTTTCCAAGCCTCAGTGTCAAAGAAGAGCTGCCTCCCCAGAAACACAGCCTGGCTTAGCCGGATCCTGTCCCCTCTCCCCAACAGCACCCATCTTCCAGGAGGAAGATCTCTCCCCTAAAGAGAAGGACTTGCTTTTGAATTTCTTGGGCATTGGCGCTGGGTGAGCCCCAGGAAAGGCCAAGCAGGTCTTCTCCCTCCAGACCCCATCCGTGCACCCTCTCTCCCCACAGCTGCACGGCCGCTTTCTCCAACAAACCCCCCGATTTCGGGAAACATGTGCCTCCGCACCGGCACGTTCCTGCCTGTCCCTCCAGGAGGGGCTTCCCGGGTGTCGGGGGCCATCAGAGTCACAGCCAACAGCCACGGCAATGGGCACACAGGCTGCACACGCAGGCAGAAAATATGCCTCGAGCAGCAGGGGAAAGGCAGCGGCTTGCATTTGTACACATAGGGTCTAACACAGACCCTGCACCCTCCACCATGTTTCTGCATGCACCCAAAGGCTGCTGACTCCCTGAGGCTTCATCCCCTTCTGCTTTAACCTCTCAGATACAACACTCCTCCCTTCACAGCATCCATTTCACCAAAAAAGGTGCAGACTGTTGGAAAATCACGCGCAGGACCAGCCGCGTGTTGCCACCTCTGACTAGAGGCTGCATCCCTTGCAAAGCTCTGCAAGGAGGACGCAGGGGCAGCTCCGGAGCTTTGCACACAATTCCTTCCCTCAGTGCCACGCATTCAATGAAACACAGCTCCAGGGAGCCTTGGTGACCTGAGACAACGGGGAAATTTTGCATATTTTAGTAAACATCAGACTTGACAGTGCAAGAGAACATGGAAACCGAAGGCCCTTTTCCCACACACCTCATCCCGCGAGATAATTTGGATCAAGCAGATACGAGCAATGGGAAGAGGAAGAAAGCCGAAATCCTTCCTAAGCTTCGCATAATCCCCAGAAGGTGTTTATCTCACAAGCTATGTTTAGCGCAGAGCGAGGCAAAGCTCTCACCCAGCACCATTCCTATCGCGCGTGTCACGGCCAGCCACGCGCATCCCCAAAAACTCCCGAGGTAGGAGACAACCCAGTGACTAAGCCAAAATGACGGCAGGCGAGTTTTGGTACGCATCTATCACAGAAATCGCCAACCTGAGAGCTTCAGCACAACAGCCTCCCTTTACGACCCTGACCAACTCAAGCCCACAAAGGGAAAGCAACCAGCAAAAGGAAACCCAAGACCGCTCGCTGAATTTCCCTAAGGAAAATTAGGGAAATTTAGCTTAAATTCAGGCTGCCTGAACGGAGAGGCAGAAGGAGCTGCCGCGAGTGCTGCCAGCAGTGTCTGCAAGCACTCGGACCTGCGAGCATCCCTATGCGGCAGCGCGCCACCGGCAAACCCGCTCAGAGGGCTGGCACTGCCGAGGCAGATGCAAAACCGAGGAGAGGCACGGTGGACAGCTAGCAGGACGAGAGGAGAGGGTTTTGAAGAGGCAGATGCGTTACACACACTCAGGATCGATCCCCGTGCTGAATGCTGCCCCAACAGAGGCGAAGCAGCTCGGGTCAATGGGGACCCAGAGCTGCCAGTGCCAGCAGAGACCGGGCGCACTCAGCACACGTGCAACACCTCCGGCAAAGGATATTAGGAGTAATTGTATGAATGAACCGGTTCGCCGCAACCAACAGCCCCATGCAACCAGAAACCTGCAGACACAGAAGGGTTCCAAACTTCCTCCGAGGAAAGCACCACGTTCCCAGGTGCTCCCGCAGGCATCGCCGTTTGCTGTCAGCCAAACCGCTTCCCCCAAAATCCTCCCAGTACCAGCTCGGGCCTCATCTCCCACAGGACACAAGCTGTCCCTCGGCCGGGCTCACCTCTTTCCTCCATCCACACATCCACACGCTGCCCACGGCACCCGTGAGCCGAGAGAGGGGTCTGGGCTCGGGCGTCCCAGCGAGAGCCTTTTTAAGAAGCCCGGTCGATCCCTTTCAACGCGGGACGGACAGCGGCTGGAGGCATGTGCTCCTACCTGTGAGTCAGCAGCTCCGCTCAGCAGCACCGTAAATCGCTGCTGATTCACACCCTGCTTACACAGCAAACAGGAAACTCAGGTCCACATTCCCTCCGGTTAAGACACAGATCATTTAAAAGTGGGGGGGGGGGGGGGAAAGTCACGCCGAGGTGTGTTCATCTGCTCACATGGTTCCTGACTTCAAGTTTCCAGTGCATCACTCCCAAACGAGGAAAACCCCTCCAATTTTATTCCGGTGATAAGAGAGAGGCAGCAACCGTTCTCCGGGTGCTCCCTCCTCTGTCCGGTCTGCGCTCACGGTGCTGATGCAACCAGCTCCCCGGAGCAGCAAGACACCAGCGAAGCCATTTCCCCATTTTCCTCAATCCCGGCACGCTGGCGGTGTCATCCCAGGCCGATGCCTGCCAGCCGGCGCTCACCTTGGGACAACGACCAGGCCACCTTAGTCACGGCGATGCTCTATAAATAACACCCGTGACACACGGTCACGTTTGCCAGCCACGTATGGCGGAGACAATGGGAAACTCCACCACGGCGTTCCCGGCACATGCCAGCATCGGGTCACGGCCGTGCCCCGAAACGAACCGCCACGCCGGGAGGACCGGGATCCTTGTCCCCGTCCTTCCCGCCTCGTTAGGCCGAGACGAGGGCTCTGCTCATCCTCCGAGCCACGACGCTTGCCGAGCCGCCACGGGCCCTTTCCTTCAGCAGGAAAGACCCCAGCGGCAGCGGATGAAACTTGCATTTTCATATTTTTTTTTAATTAATCATTCTCCACATCGACAGGAGCTTCACCCTCTCCCTCCAAACCACCCCCCTCCTCCTCCCGGGGCTCAGCGGGGCTGCTTGCTCCCTTTCCCCTCCACGCAGCACACACGCCCCGGGGGCTCTGCAGCTCCGGGGGCGGCTGCAGCCCGGTCCCGGTCCCGGTCCCTGTCCCGGTCCCGGTCCACGATGCCGGGCTGCAGACGCGTTCGCAGCACAACCCCTCAACCGGGACCAGGTAGGGAGAAAGACACTCGAAGCCCACGCAGAGGAAACCCCGACCGACTGCAAACGGGCAGCCCACGCCCGGCGGGTTGGGCAACAGCCCGGTCCCCGCGGGTTACGCCAGACCCGACGAGGCGGCTCAACCCGGCCGCAGCCCCGTTTCCTCCCCCACACACACCACCACCTCCTCCTCCTCCTCCTCCTCCTCCTCCCCCCCCTCCCCGGAGCCCCACGGAGCATCTCCCCCTCGGCCCTACCTCTGGGCAGGGACATGGCTGGCGGCGGCCCCGCGGCGGCCGGGCAGAGCGCGGCGCCCGGCGGAGTCCGGCCCTGCGCGGCGGCCGCCCCGGGAAGAGCCGCGGGGCGGGGCGAAGGGGCGGTTAGGCTCCGCCCCCTCCCTGCCGCGGTAGGCTCGGTCAGCGGCGGGGAGGCGGGGTGTGGGGGGGGCGTGGTTAGTGAGTCCGCGGGAAGAGCTTCGCGGTTCTCGGGGACGGCTGTAGGGGGTGAAGTGAAGCGGGCGGGCGGGACTCACGGGTGTGGTTGTGCTGCCGTAGAACCGGGGAGTCCTCGCTGTCCCCGGCACCGGTGTGACCCCCCGTAGGGCACCGTTTGGGGCGGGGAGCCCTGCCAGGGGGGACCCAGTCCTACGCCGCGGCCCACACGCCGGGCACGGGGTGGGGGGAGTGGGAGTGAGGCTGGCGCTGCGCAGCTGAGACCGGCCAAGCTCATCGCATCTTCCGTGGGTCCCTGCTTCTGCACACCGTGGGTCCCACCGGTGGGTCTGGCTGAAAACTCGAGGGGGATTTATTCTTCTCCGAAGTCACTGAGGAATCAACCCCTCCTAGCCCAGCAATGCGCCGTGGCACGTCCCCGGGGCGAGGATGCTCCCCCAAACACCCGAACTGCAGAACGTAGCGGCTGAACAGGGCACGAGTGATGCAGTCGAACAAGCAAAAAGGAGATTACGAGTGCCATTTTCTGGCTGAAATCCCTACAGATCCATACAGATACAAAAAAGGAGGGGTCGGAGGGGTGGCGATTGCAGACAGCCCTGGTGAAATCACAGCTGCTCTGTCACAGCCTGTTCTCAGCTTCGCGTTTTGCGGAGCGTTTTGGATCAGTTCGAGGGCTGGAAAACCTGCCTCAAAACCAGACAGCTCAAGGGAATGACTGCAGGAGGGAAGGAGCTGGGCGGACTGGGGTCTGTGTCCTTCTGCAGAGGACCGGTGCCCCAAACGGACCTGGAATCCAGCAGCGATGGCATAAGATCCGGCAGCTGCAAATTGAAGCTAGAAAAGTTCAAATGGGAAACAAATTACAGGTTTTTAATAGGGCAAGCAATTACCTTCCCGAGAGACGTAGTAGATTCACCACCTTTCAAGTCTTTCAACACAGGCGAGGAGTCTTTCTAAAAAAACTCCGCTCCAGTTGAACCGCAGGGTTATTAGCTCTGATGCAAGAGCTGCAGATGTCACTGCCTGGGCTGGGCAAGCAGGAGGTGGGAGCAGAGTGGACCTTTCTGGCATTTAGCCGTACGAATCTCTGAATCAACAACGAGGTTTGAACTCCAGCCCGGCTGATCCGAACGGGTTTGGGCTGGGCCGGTGTTTGGGTACGAGATTCGGGGAGCGCCGCCGCAGAGCAGAGCATCGTTAGCACCTTCGCAAACGTGCAGCTGGATGCGGACCTGCGAGGGACCGGCGGGACCGGCTTTGACGCCTGGCCTTGATGCTGGCAGCACCTCGGGGTGTCATTGCAAGTGCAGGGCACGACCCTGCTGTCCCCAAGCACGTTGCGTGCTCCATCGCTCCACCGCCTGCATCCCCAGGCACGGCTGGAGATCGCCGCCGGCCCCGGCTGCAATTACAGGGGTGGATGAAACAGCCGCCCGGCTTTTATTCACCCATCTTGAATCGCCAGGCACTTCACAAGTAGGGGTTTGTCACCTGCTCCGAGGCCTTCCAGGGCAGGAACGCTATGGAAGCACGAGTGGAAATTGGGGAACGCTCGGCATCAAAATCCAACAGGGTGGGAAGGCGTGGGGCTGGGGAGGGAGCCCACGGACCCCTGTGGGCTGCGAGGAAGGGGCCAGAGGCAGCACATGGTCACCTCCTCGTCAGTGGCAAGGCATGGGGACTTCTTGGGAGCACCTCGCCTTTTCTGCAACCTCTCGGTGCCTGCTAGCATGGCTCCTTGCCTGCGCCTCCTCTGTCTGCCTGAGCTGCTGTTGTCGGACCCGGCAGACTCTTCGCTGGAGAAGTGTATCTGAAAGATCAGAAGCGGCTGTAACTGCTGGCCCGAGGCAGAGGGAATCATCCCAGGCAAAGGCAGGGCAAAGCGTCCCGGTGGAGCTCGAGTGCTCCCAGAAATTTTGGCAAGGGTGCTGGATTTTTGGCACCCCTGGAAGGCCTCTCCGTGTTTCCAGGGTGCTGTAGGTAAACCTGCGGGTCTGCAGGCTCTGGAGGCTGACGGAGGGAGAGGGAGGGAGGAAGGCTCGGGTGCATCCCAGAGCCAGACCTCACCAGACACGCTGGGACTTTTGCCGCTGGTGCTCGACGCTCGAATCTTTGGTGCTGGCCCCTCGCTGCCAGGCCTGGTTTGGAAACGCACCCACGGCAGGACGGGGCGTCCCCGGTGTCCCCGACACAGAGATCAGGGGGATCGCCGAGAGAGCCGGCGAGGAGCCCCCCGCCTTTGTGCAAAACCTGCTTCTCCCTTCCCCTCTCTCCTAAGGTTTCCCAGCGAAGCGACCGACTTTCTCCTGAGCACCCCTGTGCGCTGGAGGGCATCAGCGCTCCCTCGCAGCTCCAAGCACGGTGCAGGATTCGGCCCCTCTCTCTGCCTGCCCCAGGCTCCCCCCTGCCCTCGGGCTCGTGCCGCTCATCTCCTTCCTGCAAAATCGCAGCCGTACATGGCCTGGCTGTTTGCGGCGTGTTTGCCTTCCCCTGCGTACCCCTGCTCCGGGTGTTTTGCCGTTTTTATCTTCCCGCATCGCCATACGGCGTAGGAACGCAGGCGGAGCGAAGGCTGCCAGGGAGGGGATGAGGAGAAGGACAATGTCTCAGCACCGACATTTTCTAGTCTTTCACGGAGGAGGAGGAGGGGAACGAAGCCCTCTCTCCTAGCAGACACCCATTTCTGCGTGCCGGCAGGTGCTGCGGGCGCCTGTGCTCGACGGGAGTGGGAGAACGTGACCCCAACGGGCACAACACCAGCACCCGGCACCGGCCGATGGAGCAGCACAAACCAAACAAATCCAGTGGCCTGATGAATTAATCAGCTGATGGACTCTAACTCGGAGAGCAGGAGCCAAAGGCATGAGTAAACAAAGGCCAAGCTACACGGGATGGTATTTAGGTGCAGAGTAGCTGCCAGTGAACTATTACAAGTTCCAAATTAATTCTAGGTGTTGCTGCTTTTCCTGTTGCACAGGCAGCCACCAGCCTGCCCCGCTGCGCAGCCGGCACGCAGACGCCTCGGACGGGCTCCGCTCCTACCTCCGAGAGCTTTTAATTAAAATCTATCGAGGTGTTGCTGCTGCAGCTCCACGGGCACGGAGAGAAACGCCGCTATTTCCTCCCCCAGTTTCGCACGCGGCGGATACGCCGAGGTTATTGAGCAGACCCCGATGCACACGACGTGGTGTGTGGAAGCTCAAGCGCTTCTGGTTTTGAGGGTGCGCTTGGCGCGACTGTCCCACAAACAACGATTCTGGCACGTCCCCCTCCCCAGGCATCCGTGGTGTCCCGTGGCAGCTGATGCACAAGGTTTCCTTTGCTTGTGGGACCTCTGGGATGAGCATCTCGAAGCCGGCTGTTCACACACCACTGTGGCCACCCTGATGAGCCTCCCGGTGTTTTCCGGGGTTTTCTGCGCTGCGGGGTGACGGGACGTGGCATCGCCCCGCAGTGGGGCTCTGCCGGACCCCCCTGCCCTGTTCCCAGGGCCCGATCCTGGGGAGGGAAGGAGGGACAGGACAGAGCATCGCCTGGGGGACCGTGACCTGGTGCTTCCACCGCACCCCGCAGCGTCAGCGCAGGTCACCAGCACGGCACCAGTCCCGCGTGCTGGTTCAGTACCAGTACAGCAGAACAATAACAGCGCAGCACCAGCACGCTGGGGCAGAAAACCCAGTACAGTACCGCAGAGCAGACGGCACGGCGTGACAATACCAGTGCCCCAGTGCCGGACCCCAGCGCAGCACCAGTAAGCCAGTATGGTGTACCCAGTGCAGGACCAGTACAGGACCAGTACCCCAGTGCAAGACCAGTACGGAGCACTAGGACTGCACTGGTGGCGGGTGCTGCTGTGCCCGTGCCCGTGCCCGTGCCCGTGCCCGTGCCCGTGCCCACCCGCGCGGGGGCGCCGGGTCCCACCGAGTCACCTCCGGTGGGGGCGGTGGTGGTGGCGGTGGAAGGTGACGCTGTCCCTTTAAGAGCCGGACGGCCGTACCAAAACAAAACGGCGGCGCGCCCATTGGCTGGGGCGCGGGCACGTGGCGCACAGCTGGTTTCCTGCGGCCGCGCGCCGGTGGCAGCTCCCGCGGCGTCCGCCGCCACGGCCCGGTCCCGGGATTCCGGGATTCCGGGATCGGATCCGGCGCTGTCGGGGGGTTTCGTGTCGTTTACGGCTCGGGCCCGGCCCGGTTCGGCTCGGCCATGGCTCATTCGGCTCCTCTCGGCCTCCTGGAACAGGGCTGCCCCATTCAGGTGGAGCACGATCGGAAGAGGCGGCAGTTCACCGTGCGGCTGAACGGGAAGGAGTGGGGGGGGGGGGCACGGGGCCCCCCGGTACCCTACCTGCTCTCCTTTGCCCCCGGTTCTACCTCCCTGGGGGGGCCCAGCCCCCCGTTTCCCCCCATTTTCCCCCAGCGCAACTGTGTAAAAAAACCCCAAACCCTCCCTCAGTGCCCCTGTGCCCCCCCATACTCTTCTGAGCCCCCCTGGACCTTCCCCAGTGCCCCTGGTTCCTGCTGGTGCCCCCCATCTTTCCTGCCCCCGCCCAAAATCTTGGCCCAGGAGATCTGGGGGTCTCATGGCTGGTGCTGGTGTGTGGAGCCCCATGCTGGCATGGGCAGGTTTGGGGGGGGACACGCTACCTTGGACACCCCCCCCCTCAGGAGCAGGTGGCTTTGGATGATGTGGAGGTGCTGTGCCAGGTTGATGCTGGGGACGTGCCTCAGTGTGCAAGCTGCTCGGTGGGTCTTCTGGTGGGATTCCTGCAGGGAAGCCCCTCGGGGGGAGCTGAGTGGCCCCCCGGGGCCCCTGGCACCATGGGTGCTTGGCACCTGGTTCGGTAGGACCCACGGCATGGAGCCAAGCTG